GTCTCAGACAGCAACAGCAGAGAATACTCGTCGGGAACAGCCGTAAACATCATGCCGTGTTACATTTGGCTTCGCTGTTTGCCTCCGAGGAAACCGTAATAATTGAATGAAAACACGTGTAGAGTTTTGGTTCCTCACCACCTTGTGTAGATAAAGATTCGCCTAGTGAAAAGACTATAAACTTAGGCTTGTATGTGCCCATATGATAAATATATGATTTGGAAAACTTGAAATTAGTTAAAATCCAATTTCTTAAATGAGACAAAGTAAAAATTCAGTGTTCATATGGTAGCGATAATGGTAATATTAGCCGTTTCCTTATAAGGAAACATTCAGAATTCATTGACTGACCAGTCAGTGCTGCAGTCGGTTTAAATTTATAAAATCATTCTCTTAAAACAATTATTTTTAAGAAAATAGGTTTCTCAAGTCCAGTAGCTGTTATTGCTCTTTCCAGTACTGATGGGAGTTTCCTTCCTAACCTTTTATTTGAAGTAGTGTGGAATGTCAACATCTTGATTATGTCATTATTTTCTCTTCTCAAGTCCAGTAGCTGTTATTGCTCTTTCCAGTATTGATGAGAGTTTCCTTCCTAACCTTTTGTTTGAAGTAGCGTGGAATGTCAACATCTTGATTATGTCATTATTTTCTCTTCTCAAGTCCAGTAGCTGTTATTGCTCTTTCCAGTATTGATGAGAGTTTCCTTCCTAACCTTTTGTTTGATTGGAATGTAGTTTGGAAGTCAGTAGCTGTTATTGCTCTTTCCAGTATTGATGAGAGTTTCCTTCCTAACCTTTTATTCGAAGTAGTTTGGAACGTAAGCCTCTTGATTATGTCATTATTTTCTCTTCTCAAGTCTAGTAGCTGTTATTGCTCTTTCCAGTATTGATGAGGGTTTCCTTCCTAACCTTTTATTCGAAGTAGTTTGGAACGTAAGCCTCTTGATTATGTCATCATTTTCTCTTTGAGTTACAGCTGATATCCATTTTAGTTATTGCTGTTGTTGAAAGTCCTCAAATTTTATGGTTTCTGTTATCTGGTACAGTCTCTTTGTGGTAGTGGGGGGCCAATTCACAAGGCTCGAAGAAGAATGGTCTTCAAGCTTTACTCGTTCAAAGACATTTTTAGCAATTGATAAACGAAAGCAGTTAGATACATCTGATAGTTTGGATGCTTTGAAATGGGTTTGTCGCCATGCATCACATCCATATGAAAATCTCGATCTGACAAGGCTATTTAAGAACATGACTTGAATTTGTCAGGTTAATGATTTGGTTTTACATCAATTTGCGGGGTTGGGCGAAAATACTTTTGGCGGAACCTAATTTATATTCACTATTCTTACATCCTATAGTCATTTTGTTATAATTGATCTATACTGCTAGGAATTGGAATTGTTTAGTGTTTACTAATTCTACATCATGGATCTTTATAATGGATTCAGGGTATGCGCCATCAGTGATTTCATTCCAATGCTTTACGTGAATTACATTTTTACCTCGCTAATATAAATTTTGTTGAAGCAAGATTATTTTTCTCTTGACGCCGATTCAATTTATATTTGGCATTCTGTTGGATTCACTTCCTAACATTATTCGTGTACCCACAGACAAAGGTGTGGAATCAAACGAAAGTTGTCTGTAATAGATTTCCATAATTGCTATTTAAAATCTCTCTGTCTTACTTTGACCGATTCTATAATCCCGTTGTATTCAAATGCATATAAATATATGTATCTAAATTAGCGTTCCACCTACAGCTGCGCTACTCTGTCTCTCCTTTGATGTCTTTGTGTTTGGTCCGCACACCTACGTTCAAATGACCGCCGTGTCCGACAATGACGCTAGTTCCAGAATGGAAATAGGGACCCACATAAAAGCAAGCATTAAGTTGGGGTGTGGTGCGCTGTTCTTACCCCAACCATCTTCGTCCCACCAGAAATCATTCCGGTGACAGAAGAAAGCACACAATGACCTTTCAATCGTAGCAACAGGAATTAAGGTGGGCTGCGGATGCGCAGCTTTCCCTCCCAGCATCATCGTTCCAACAAAGATACTTCCGGTGGCAGGAGAATGCTCACGACGACCTTTTAATCGTAACAAAAGAAATGGAAATGGAAATGTGAGTGCGCAGGCCTCACCCCCAATATTTTCGTTCCACCAGAGATCCTTCCGTTGGCACAAGAAAGCTGACGGTGACCCTTTGTTTGGCTGCAGGGAATTGTCGAATGTCCACTTTGTTAGGAATCCATCGGTACCTGTTTTTGTGCTCAGGATTGTCTACTCAAGCCACTGATTACCAAAACTTTACTGATGTGGCAGTAGGACTGTGGTTAGTGGGTCAGCTTTAGGGAGTACTGCATCTTCAGGATACCACACAATTTAACCTGGAGCCGTAAGGCCTCAGTGACCGCGGGTTGCCATGCGTGTATATGTACGAATACACACGTTAATTATTTGTTTGCTTGTTGATCCCCAAAGACGATGCATCTGCCCTTTTATTGGTCTTGTTTTTAATCCTACTGTGTCTGGCTACCGTCCTCACCAGAAAGGCCTGGTGGAGGCACCAGTTTAAGTAGTACTAGGCTACATTCATAAAGTAATGTATGTACACACAAACGTACATATTTTCACTGGGGGCCCCATACTTTCGACCCTGTTTTGGCATCTAAGTTAACCTCAGAAAATATGCATACATACTTTTACTTATGCAAATATACGTACACTTCCACAACACGTACCAAACCATTTTTTGGTGTTAATTCCATATTTTTCAGTTTCATGCAGTGGTGGACTCTCCAGGGTTTCGGGTTGCCTGATAGCAAGTGGGCCCCTGACTGAGTTGGTACGTAATAAAAATGCAATATAGAAACAAACAGTTTCAGTAATAAAAAGAAATAAGAATTTTGCGAAGCCATCTGCACACTATCAGTTACTCAAGTCCAATGTGAGAGGACATTTTCAAAGTGAAAGATCATAAAGACAAAGTTAAGAAATTCGCTGTCTTAGGAGAATTTGGAGTCATACATGTTATGCATTGAAAAGAAATTGTTAGATAAAGTTGATGCAGAAGCAATCATTGGCAGATTCGAACAATCAACTAGTGAACAAAAGCGATTGCTCTTAATATAGTGGACAGCATACAATGCTCTATTTTACTTTTAGTATCTTAAAATATCACTCTTTAATGTTCGATCTTTCAGATTCATCACTGAATTAAATACATTAACAAAGTTGGAAATTTTATTGAAAAATAAAAAAATAAACTATAAATATTTTTCTCATCGTTACGTTACGCATACAACTACAATAAATTTGGAGAGTAAAAATACTTTGTACTTATTTTTTTTTATTCAATTTTAGGTGTTATATTTATAGGGCATACTAATACGCTTAAACTCACCAACAATGGCTTTTGTAACCAAATTAGTAATCATGGTAAGGCACCCAAATTCTAAGTTATATTACAGTAGAGTAATTTAACTTATTTACCTAATTATATTAATACGTACTAGATGTCATATAAATGATAATCAGAAAATTATCTACTTGGAAACCATCCACGTATATTTGACCAAAGAGTGAGTCTTGTAGAAATCTTGGAGCAAATGGGCTCTTGATGGAGTGCCTTTTCTCTATATCAAATGAAAAATTAATAAAGAAACAAGCACAGACAGCTGTTTTAGTAATAAAAACAAATAAGAACATTATAAATTCATCTGAAAACTATCAGTTACTCAAGTTCAATGTGAGAAAACATTTTCATAGCTAAAGATCACAAAGACAAGGTTAAGATATTAGATGCCTGAGGAGAATTTGGAATCATACATGTTGTTACCGTTTGAAAAGGAATCGTTAGATGAATTGGATGCAGAAGCAATTATTAACAGTTTCACACAATCATCGAGTGTACATAAATGATAACTCTTAATATATTGAACTGTATGCCATACTCAATTGTGCTTTTTAGCTATCGGTTATTGTGTAAATTGTGCAGTAATCTATTTTGTAAACTATTTATCAACCATTAAAAATTAAAAGAAATAAATAAAAATTCAAATATAAGATTCAAAAAAATTAAATAAAAATTCAAATATAACATTGTCTATTTACATTTGGTATCTACTTCTGGCAATATTTACAGTACGTGTACACTAGGTATTTACTCTGTTTCTCCACTAAGACGAGTTGTAACATAAGGTCAGTTTTTAAGGTGGGGTCCCGAGCGCGTACTCCCGGGCTAGGAACAAAAATTGCCCACAGCCCCCGCAACTGTCAGTTGCTCTGGCCTCGGGCAGCTGTTCCCCAGGGCTGGGCACCCCTCAGTATAATTTTCCTCTGTTGCGACTGTCCTTTGACGGAGCCGCCCCTGGGTGCACTCTGCCCAAAGACAGAGACGCAATTGAGAGAAGCACATGTACACTATAATTACTAAGAAATACACATTTTTACACAAAATTTTAATTGTACTCTTTTGTCTCTTTTGTTTTCATAATTTTATTTAATCGTTATGAAAATTAAATTATAGCATTTTATTCGCGGGTGAACCGCCCACTTTGTCTCCTGCTAACATATTATTAGAACTCGTTCTCCACTGGGTTCATGGCTTCGCCGTGTTGGCTTCACGCTCGACAAATATGTCTGGTTCATTCTAGACAGAAGACCATTCATACAATGACACTTTGCAAGATTTATTGTTCATTGATACTTGAATTTGTTTTTTTAGGTTAATTCCAAATCGTAACAATTTTCATTTGTTCTTTTTGTTTTACATAGTTTTAAAAGGATCTATTAAATACCAATTCCCTTGACATAGAAACTGTTGGCATCATCTCTACGATTCAGTCATTTGTACGTATTTTTAATTTAGAATGTTTCGGCCATTTTATTTTTATTCATCTATGATCAAACGATTTATAGCGAGAAATAAGACAGTACTTAATTAAACACTTTTTTGATTTCTTTCTGATCATCAATCAGAATTGACTCGAAAAAATACTATTAAGGTGGAGAGAAAGAGAGAAAGAAAGAGTGAGAGAGAAAGAAGGAGGGAGAGAAGAAGAAATGAACGAGAGAGAGAGGTGAGGGGTGAGTGAGTAAGAGAAGGTTGAAAGGGTAAAGAGAATAAGGAAAGGGGAGAGAGTGAATGGGAGTGGTAGTGAGTGAGATAAGGAGAGAGGGGGAGTCTGAGAATGAGAGAGTGAGTCGAACTGGGGAGGAGTGGAAGAAAGAGAAAAGGAAAGAGAGAATGGGAGCAGGGGAGGGGAGGGGAAGAAGGAGAAAGAAAGAAAGAAAGAAAGAAAGAAAGAAAGAAAGGAGAAGAATCGAGTGTGTAGTAGAAATGAGAGAGAGAAAAGAAGGGAAGAAAAAGAGTGAATGGGAGAAGTAGTAAAGTGGCATAAGAAAAGAGAGAGGAAGAGAAAAAATGAGAGAGTGAGTCGGAATGAGAAGCATTGGGAGAAAGAGTGAGAAGAAGCGAGAGTAGGATTAGGAGGGAGAAAAGGAGAAAAAGGAAGAGATATAGAGTAGAGAGAGTAGGAGAAGTGATAGAGATGTGATGAAAAGAGAGAGTGAGTGAATGGAAGTAGTAGTGAGTGGGAGAATTAGAGAGAGAGAAAAAGAGGGAGAGAGTTCTCCCTCTCATCTGACAGTAATGTACAGAATAGGAAATAGAAACAGAAGATAATAAAAAGGAATAAGAAAAAAAGAAGAGAATGAATAAGTTAGAAGGAAAGGGTAAAGAAAATGGCGACAAGAAAAAAAATAGAAAACAGAGGAAGCCGAAGATAAAGAGAAAAACGTATTGACAAAAAAAAGTAGTTTAACATGAGACAGAAGATTTTACACGAGGCGAGACGAAAGACTTGAATTAATTACGACGGAGACAAAATGGCAATTAACATGAAGCGTCATCTTCCACCCACATTCAACATGAGATTAACTTCGAATGGGTGATTGCCGAAGGTAGTGAGATATTGATTATATTTTCTTTTAAAATGATTTCTCTCAATTTCTCTAGTTGCATCAAAAAGTTCATTTCTGACCTAGACTGTGCATGCATATCTATCTATCTATCTATCTATCTATCTATCTATATATGTATGTATATATGTATCTATATATCTATATCAGTCCGTTTCTATCTATCTATTCTATCTATCTATGTTCATGGCTTTCTATTTTGCGCTTTATCTTTTTCTCTCTCTCTCTATCTATGTCCGTGTCTTTCTATTTCACCGTTTCTATCTATCTATCTATCTATCTATCTATCTATCTAGGATACAAATAGTGTTAGCATGTTTTCTCGTTATAGTAATTTTACGTTTTCTTCTGTCACTTGCAGACATTACATACAGAGTTAAAGATTTTGTTTGGAAACTTTTAATACAAGACATATCCTCCGTTGCTCAGATAGTCTCAAAACACCCATTTTACTTCATAGCAGTCTATACAAGATGTTACCTAAACATACTAGGAATCATAAACAGGACACTCGGATCGAAAGTACTATGGTAGATGACGTGTCGTTACGTTTTTTGAGTACCTCTTTTGTGATATTGCTGTATAAATTTCCTAAGATATAACTTTGAAGGGGACATGTAAAATAAATTAATGTTTCTGCTTATACTGCATTACATTTTAATAGGCAGAGAGAGAGAGAGAGAGAGAGAGAGAGAGAGACAGACAGACAGACAGAGAAAGCGAGCGAGAGAGAGAGAGCGACAGAGAGAGAATCAGAGTGTGCGTGCATGTGTGTGAACATAGGACTTGATACTGTATTGAAGCGTGAACCCGACAGTCATCTTGCAGTGTTGATTCTTATATCACAATTTTCTGTATCTATAAAAAGACTCTCTCCAATACCGACCACTCTCCCTTTATAAATATAGCAGATTTTAAATGGTAAATATAATAATAATAATAACACAGATGGTGTCTCGCCAAAAATAAAAGAAATGAACAGGAGCATCAACCAGTATATTATAGAGGATAACTCTTTTAAAGCAAGGCGTCCTTGCAAGTGTTGAATATTGAGAGAGAGAGAGAGAGAGAGAGAGAGAGAGAGAGAGAGAGCATTAATAGTAAGGTTAAATGTTCTAAACTTATCTCCTGAAATTCAAGATCACTTTTAGATTAAACTATATATATATATATATATATATTCATACACGTTTCATTAAATAATATAGACAAGTGTTGTCTATTTATTTTATGTAATTTTTTTTCGTAACGTCTGATAAGTTTAATAACATTATCGTTGAACGAAGAAAGAAATTCACAATATTGATCCATATTTTTTTTAATACAATCTAAGCTTTCGGCTTACTTAAACCATTATCAAAGATGTCAATTACGACATATTAAGCAATATACGGACAAGAATGTGATGACAGTCTGTCAATGTTTACATAGATGATTTCTAAGCAACGATAAACACGCACATATAAGACGCTAGAAGCGAAAATCGCATCGCATCTCATGACGTCACACATGACCACACGAGAGTGAATTGGAGAAGTATGAAGTATGGAAAGCCGTTGGTATAAACCAATGGCTTCTGTTACCAATTATAGACATCTAAGAATATTTGTAGAGATGCCATAATTGATTTTGTTTAGGTTGCGTTTCAACTGTTTGATGTATAATGCTTCAAGGATTTTTAGTTTTTGTCTATTGTTTTCATGTCGAAGTATAATTTTCGACAAGTATTTTACGGAATTGTGTATGCGGGCAGGCATGTTGTGGTCACGTTGTCGTCAAATGGGCGACGCTTTCCTTTCACAACGTATTCTTAAAAATTTTATCCATCGGAATCAAATTTATAAATTTTTTAAGAATATGTTGTGAAAGGAAAAAACGCCCATTTGACGACAACGTGACCACGCTCAAACGGAAAGTTGATCATTTAAAATTCTCATTTATCTGTTTTGGATAAGACTTGTTTTTATGTCCATCGTTTTCGTCGTGTTATACTGATTATGTTAATTGTATTTTTAATGAATATTGTCCTGAAGAAGTTTATTAAGCCGAAACGTCAGACGTCGACATTTCATTCATATTAAAACAACATAATCGCATTTTAAGGATTTTTGTTTTGTTTTTCCAGATATTTTCTTCATATATATATATATATATATATATGTGTGTGTGTGTGTGTGTGTTTGTGTATGTGTGTTCATTTATAAGTTGTAGTACCAGTTGGTATCAAGACCTGCAATGTAAGTAGTTATATTCACCATAAAACTATTTATTATTTTCGCAATTTACTCCTGTAAACATTCTCACCAGAACGTTAACCACACGAAATGTAAACTAAGAGTTGCCTAATTTACAATCTTTGTTTTCAATTAAAATTTTGCTATCGTCATTATTACCATGTGTCAAAGTTCATTTTCATTGACACCGTTCGTCGCAATGGAAGTCGTTTTTTGTTTACAGGAACTGTGTGAATTATACATACAGCAATTAGTAGCCTAAAAGGAAAACAAATTATTCCATTTGCCCCTGGGAAATATCCAGTGAAAAAAAAAAGACGATGAAAATTAGCAAATATATACTTGGGAAAAACTGTTTTGTAAAATTGCTTTCTCCAATTACACGAATATGTTTCTTGCACCGATATTAGCAATAAAAAGACATTATAGATTTACACCTAAGAAATACAAACAGTAAGAGTTACTACAAAAGACATTTCTCAGGTTTTCGCCATGAGGATCACATGCTTTCCATTAAAACCTTCCCATGGTTTCAATAGGGTTGCACACTAAATCTAAAACTTCTATATTTCTTCTCATTTACAGACGCACGCGTTCGCGCGTATGTAGATATAGTTGACCGGTGAAAGAAATTCGAAAAGTAATAAAAACAACAACAAAAACTACAACAACAACAATAATAATAATAATAATAATAATAATAATAATAATAATAATCATTTATTGCATACTTAGACAAAATAGGAGCGTGACGAGAAAAGATGTTAAAAATCGAATTTTTTGGACACACCTATGTCTTTTCTCAACAAGTTAATAAAAACAGGTCGGTTTAGTTTGGTTTGTTTTTAGCCTCATATAACCTCAATGGGTTTATTTAATGCCGACAAGATTTTTATTGCTGGTAATACTTTTTCTTCAAAAATGTATTGCTGATAATCATGTATTGCTGGTAATAATGTTTTACAAAAATGTTTTGCTGGTATTAAAACCTATTTTTGCAGTTTCATAGTGTTTTGACTTCAGTTTAGGGTTAACTATTTGCCCATAGCTAGCTCTTGTGGAGGACGCTTGGTTTGGCCATCATCACAATAGCTAGGGAGGAGTAGATGTGATCGGCATCAATAAACTACAGAAGAACTCAAAAATAGATCGCTGCATTTAAGTATTGAATTAATGTTTAAGCTTACCTTTTGAAAGTTCAACAATAATTCTTCTGCCATTTAAAGACGATTTGATGTACGTAGATCCTTATTTTCCGTCTAAACTATTATTTTTATTTCATGGGTGGCAAAACAGGGGACAATTTATAAGACAAAATTATTATAGTGCAAAGATGGGAAAATAGAAATGATTTATACATTCAACATTTGAAAAGTTAAAGAAGCATAATAGCTAATTAAGCAAAACGTATATTATAGGATCTATATGAATAAATGCGAAATTAGAACTCAATTCTACCGCGAATTCTGAGATTAAAAAGCACCAGCTCTACTTTATAGCAATTTACACACGGTATTGTCTTCAATCACGGCCCCCAGACAACTCCTGCGATCCCCTTGTTTAAGTTGGTGAATACTGCCATAATCATTGCTTTCAGTTCATCTTTGGTGTTACAAGGAGTTTTGTTGGTCTCTCGCTCAAATCTTTCCCACACATAATAAGCAAGGGGGTTACTGTCTGCATAACTAGATGGCCAAATTTAAGGAGTGATATGATCGCAGAAATTGTCTGACTGTTATGACTGTTCCCCTGCTAGTGCGGCATCGTGTAGAGTCCTTTTGCTAAACATATGGTCATCCAGCATTCACCCTCTTGACCCAATGTAGCATTACCTCCTTAAGGCATTTCATGTTGAGTCTGAGACCCTGTGGGAAGAAAAATGAAGGCATAATGTCGCCATCAGTAGCGATAACTCCAAAAGTCTTGATATTGACTGGATATATCATCCAATTCTTTCCGAATCCTCTGCACTTTCCTCAAATTGACACCCACTTTGAAATGCTTGGATTAGATCTTTCGGCGCGAATGCCAAACAGTGCAGCATGTCGTTTCGAAATTTGGTGCTCTTTTTCCCACAGACGGTGCGCAACTGACCATACTATACTGTCAAAATCAAAAACAAACAACACGCATGCGCGTAATTAAGAATATACAATATCGACAATTTAGCCAACGCACCTTGTATATGTTCATTAAATAATGTATGTATGTATATATGTATGTATGTATCTGTCTATCTCAGTCATTACAAACATATACATTTTATTAGTATATACGTTACACTCACTGCGTACATGTGTTTGAGGCATACGACTATATCACGTTGAAACACCTGTTTTTGTACGATCATTGAAGTTAAGCAACGTCGAGAACGGAACTGGATACTGGAGAGCCGAGTTCCAATTCCTGTTGGGTTCGTTGTATTTATATACGCGCAAAACCCTTGCAAAAAGGTTGGTAAGTCGTAAATCATTCAATATACCTGTTTGAGTAGACATCTCTATTTTTTAACAATATAATTATCGTCTAGCGATCAGGAACATAGTGGGTCTTTAATAACATCAATGTGTCATCCGGCAGATTTCGCCGGGAATGTTTCGTGTCTGAGCTACCAACGGAAACGTCGGGCAATACGGTGGTTTGCCTTATCTAAATAGGATGCAGTTTTGAAGGACGCTACTTCTTTGTTAGAGTCTCTTAAAAGACTGTCCGGTAGCAACAATTAATACTGTTAAGAAAAAAAAAGAGTAGAAAACCAGTAATGTCTAATCGAATAGGTATCTCCACTAAATTTAACATAAACATTAATAAAAGATAATGTCGCATTATAAATAAAGTCCCATCTATCTATCTATCTATCTATCTATCTATCTATCTATCTATCTATTTGTTCTAACTTTAGCTCCAAACCATCTATTTGTTGAACTCTGCTCAAAACCATCTATCTATCTATCTATCTATCTATCTATCTATCTATCTATCTCTGCTCAAATCTTTCTGACATCTATCTATGTATCTATTTCAATTCACATCTAATTTCTTTATATCTATGTGTCTATCTTAGCCTTTTCATTTTCTATCTATGTATCGCACTCTGCTCAAATCTATCTATCTATCTATCTATCTATCTATCTATCTATCTATCTATCTATCTATCTATCTATCTAACAATTTAGATATCCAGCTATCTATTTGTCGAACTCGGCTCAAAACTATCTAATAATTTAGCTATCTGGCAATATTTGTCGAACTCTGCTCAAATCTATCTATCTATCTATCTATCTATCTATCTATCTATCTATCTATCTATCTATCTATCTATCTAATCATTATTCAATCTATACATCCATGTTTATCTTCACATTTATTTCTTCTTTTCATGAATATTTTATGAATTTATATGTAAACTAATTCTAATAGGAATTCAGCAATGTCTGAAGATGTCAGAAAGAAGTAAAAAACATGAAATTAATTCAACGAAAAAGGAAAATAAAAATTAAGAGAGAGGTTGAGGAAGAACGAAAATTACTCAGAAGGAGTGAAAGAAGAGACTGACTAAAATCACGAGGCGGCTACAAACAGGTGAGAAGGAGAATTATGTTTAAATCAAATAATTCTGAGTTGTTGAAAACCTTTTGCCAATAGATGACAGAGTGACGATTAAAAAAATATTCCATCTTCCTGTAATTACAGCGTTTTCATATCGTCTGAGTTTTAATTAAAATTCAAACTGATGTCACTGGGATTATTTTGTAGAGCGTAGGGTTGATACCATCTTCACACTTCGATCAGCACATAATGATACACAACCGCACATACATAGAACTTCAAGGCGTCATGCTAATTTAGATATTAACACACGCTCTAAATTGCGGCAAAAATATTCTCAAATATGAAAGCAACGACGACGCATAGTGACCTATTACCAGAGGCTGTCATATAAGCGTAAATATATAATTAGAATTCTATTTGCATTAACAGATAAGTTAAATGTACGTTTTTGTTTGTCTGTATGGGGTCGTGTTCGGGATTAGACCAGGGTAAATCAACGTAATCGATATCACCCCTGGAACTATCCAATGAGCTAATAAATGTATGTGAGTCAAAATGGGTCGATAAATACATCGTAGTGACCTACCAATTCTCACCAATTTCCAACTAAATGCCAATGAATTTAATACCGCTCATTAAACATATTTACGCCAAATATGTCAACCATTTCAATAAAAAGCTATATGATTTTTTGACATGTCTAGTCTTGAGGCTCTTTTCAAGAGGATAAAAGTAGAGATTATTCTAGCCTACTTTAAGGTGATTGGTCTATACCACAAATTATGTCAGTAAAGAACTAAATGGGTAGTTTATAGGATATATATTTAAAAATCTTTTTAGCATTAAATAACTGTTACTTGATGTGCCGTTAAAAAGAATTATCAGTCAATCTATATTATTTTTCTTTTACATTTACCAATATTATTTACGAAGGTTCTTCTTCTTATTATTATTATCATTAATATTAATATTATTATTATTGGAAAAATTACGTCTAGTCTGGTGATAAAAATGCATGCTGTTCCTAAAGTCTGGACACAGAATATCTCATTAACTATTTTTTATATATCCACAGATTAAAATTTTTTATCGAAAGAATTGTCTTATTTTTTCTCTTGTATAATAAAGGAGAAGGTGACCTCAATGCAAATCACAGATGCAACAGCTTGTTCGAACGCATAAAGAGTGTATGTGCTAAAATTGACGGCATAAACTGTTTCTCTTACTCTGTAATATTCCACCCTGAGTGACCCCTGGGTTTTGTACAGGGTGAACCTCATCACGGCTTCCAGATGATTTCGGAATCTCCTGCATCTCTACTGGACGGTCTCCTTGATTAAGTTGGTGAATGCTGCCATAGTCCTTGGCTTCAGGTCATCTTTGGTGTTACAAGGAGTTTTCTTAGTCTCCCACTCAACTGCACCCCACACATAATAATCAAGGTCGTTGTAGCCAGATGTAAGGGGGGTGATGAGGTCTCGGAAATTGTCTGAGAGTCAAGACTGTGTTCTCCTGCTTGTGCGACATGGTGCAGAGTCCTGTGGGAAAATGAATGGAGATATAACGTCGCCATCAATAGTGATCGTTCCAAACACCATGATGTTGACTGGATATATCATCCAACTTTTTCCGAATCCTCTTCATTGTTCTTAGATTGACGTCCAAACACTCATGTTTGTGTTGGAGCTTCCGACACGAATGGCAAACAGTACAGCATGCTTTTTCCAAATTTCTGTGAATTGCGTCATGGTGCTCTTTTTCTCACAGCCCATAGCCACCTGAGGCTGCTATACTGTGCAGTCGACAAAATGAAAAACAAACAACGCGCATGCGCGAAATTGAAATATAAAGTGGCGAAAATTTACCCATCGCATCCTGTATGTAGATTAATAGGCTGATTAATAATTTTCTTGCCAATATTCCGCTAATTTTATTAAACACCCTATTAAATCTACATATTATGAAGAATATACGCAGACAATATTTCGTTTTTATATATATATATATATATATATATATATATATATATATATATATATATATATATATATATATATATATATATATATATATATATATATATATATATATATATATATATAAAGTGGACATTGAAATTGTTATGGAACTATATTCTATTACTATTCCTGACATTATAAATACTGCGCCTCTCAAGAGGTATCAGGATATTGTAAGACGAGGAGAGATAATTGAGAGCATATTGTAAGGATACTGGAATAGTGATACTTGTCGAGACAACATAGTTCACTCTAACCAAATATGGTAGTCATTACTAATACTTTTACTTCTTTGTATTATATTTCTGTTGTAATATATCTTTGTATTCCATACCTGTGTTCGTTTTATTCTTTCATTGGTTCTAACCTTGGACCATTACCGTGGTACAATGAACTTGGACCATAACAAGTGGCGACGAGGAGACCCTAAAAAAAAAAACAAAAAAAAACTCTCTACGCGGAGGACATACCTTTTTTGCTATCCGTCGCACATAACAAGTGGCGACGAGGTAATTACTCACAGATAGCGAAAGAAGCCCTGGGAATTATTTTCACAGTCACAAAATTTCATAGATATATCTATGGTAGATTTTTTTACTCTATAGACGGATCACAAACCGTTATTAACAATATTCGGTTCGAAGAAAGGTCTACCGGTTTACACTGCCAATAGGTTGCTAAGATGGTGTACAATTCTACTGAATTACAATTTCAGATTGGAGTATCTACCAACGAAAAAATCGGGCATGCGGATGGTCTGTCAAGACTTATGTGCGAGAAAAGTGGGGACAAAAAAAAACTTCTTCCGACACAAAAACGAACTCCTTCTTGCGAACCTGAAACGAACGCCTTCTCTTCCGAACGAACACTGTACGACAGCAAACGTGCAAAACGGCACCCACGACTGCTGCCGATGGACGACCGACCGCAACGGCTTTTGTCGCCCAAGAAAAGACGCGCGTCTTCTTGTAGTCCTCGGTCGAGTCCATTATGGTACTCCAAGGTGTGCCCGGCGACAACACACACACACGCAGTTCGAGGACGCTTCCGCGCATGCTCGTTACAACTTATACCAACGAAAACAGAGCCATTGGAGGACTCTGTAGTCGCAGCCTTACGACAGGAAGAAGATATCAGGACAGTACTATGTTGTTCGAAACCTCCCTGTCATACTACAAGAGACAAAAAATGAAGCAATAAATGATGAATTCATAAAAGAAACAAAAGCAAAAATAGCAGAAAAAAATAAGCAAATATCGAAAAGCTTTTCTTTATGCGATAATGTGCTACTTTATAACGGATGGGTAGTAATTCCCAAGACATTACAAAAGCGAATCCTAAAGGATTTCCACATGGGCCATCCAGGGAAAAATAGAATGAAATTGCTAATTCGAAGCTATGTATATTGACAACATATGGACCAGGACATTACACAGATGGTGGAAAAATGCAAGGGTTGTCCCTTAGCACCGCCAATCATTCATAAGCCATGGCCAGTGACAGATCGTCCGTGGTCAAGAATACACGCAGATTATGCAGGTCCAGTAGATGGTTTTTACTATTTGATCATAGTGGATAGTTATAGTAAATGGCCGGAAGTGTTTCGTTGCAAAAATCCTACTTCCGAAACTACTATAAATTGCCTCCACGAACTGTTTGCTCGGTTTGGAGTAGTAGATTGTCTAGTCACAGATAATGGAACGCAATTCACATCAGCGGACTCCCAAGAGTTTTGCGAAATTTTTCAAATCAAACATATCGAATCCCCGCCGTATCACCCAAGATCAAATGGGCAAGCGGAGAGATTTGTCGATACACTCAAAAGAGCGTTAAGAAAATCATATGATGTGCCTACAGAAAAAAGCATTACAACAATTTTTACAGGTATATCGAATTACGCCAAATAATGCTACGCCATCGGCATTATCACCCGCAGAAGTGATGTTCGCCAGAAAAATCAGATCATTTGTGTTTGATAAGTTGCTACCAAAACAAACGAAGCAAATAACACAGTCATGCGTACTAAAAAGAAAATTCCACCCAGGAGAAATTTTTTTAAAGCATATAAAAACAATACATCTTACTGGGAACAAGGTACAATTGAAAAAATAATATGGAATATGGTTTACATAATACAGGGACCCAAATTCTCACATAAAAGACACGTAAAGCAAATAAGAAAGAGACTGTTAGAGGAATTTAACGGTCCACCTCAGTAAGAAGTGATGGATACGATTTTCGATACATTTGATATACAAAGGCCGCAAACGATGCCAGAACCACAAAAACCGTCCAGAAAAAGGAAGTTCACAGAACCTTTGGTAATAGATCCAAAGAGAAAAAATAATATTAAAAACCCCTGCTACGCAAAAGCTTCGGAAGGTGGGTGTTGGGACTTACCCATAATAATAATGGACTATTCCTGACATTATCAATACTGCGCCTCTCAAGAGGTATGGGGACATTGTCAGACGAGGAGAGATAATTGAGAGCATATTGTAAGGACATTTGAATAGAGATACTTGTCAAATCTGATAGTCATTACTAATACTTCTACTTCTTTGTATTATATTTCTGTTGTAATATATCTTTGTATTCCATACCTGTGTTCGTGTTATTCCTTCATTGGTTCTAACCGTGGACCATTCCCGTGGTACAAAGAACTTGGACCATAACAGAAGTCAACACTAAGCTGCGACTGTCTGTTTTATGCATGAACGCATGAAACAGGATGGAACATATTGTCGCCGCTTGGT